GTATTTATTTATTAACTGTGAATGAACTGTTTGTGTCCTTTGCCCAATTTTGTATTAGGTATAGAAACTTTTTCTTATGGATTTATTAATTTTACAAATTAATGACATTAACCCTTTGTCTATTGTATTGTAAATGTTTTCTCTCAATTTGTCATTGACTTTTGACTTTGGGTAGGGTAAAAATTTTTTTTTTCTGAAAGAAGTCAGAAATTTTTACAGATTGGTTCCATTTCTTTCTTTCTTTCTTTTTTTTTTTTTTTTCAATTATGTCTTCTAGATTTGGGGTCTTTCACAGCAGAGCTTTTCCCACCTCAAGTTGTTATATGTCTTATGTTTCCTTTCAGTATTTTATGTTTGAATGTTTAAATTTTTTATTCATCTATGATTTCTTTTGGTGGAAGGAGTAAGGTAGGGATTTAGCTTGCCCAACCTCCCCTTTCCAAAGGTCAGTCAATTCTCCAGCAACATTTTAACAATTAATCTATCTTTCCCTGGCTATTTAGAGATGCTCCCCACATTCTGTGTCCCCAAATATATTTGGGTCTATTTCCGTATGCTATATTGTTTCATTGATCTGCTTATTTTTTCTCAAGTACCAAGTAGTTTTAGTAACTATAGAGAAGACTTAAATTCCCTAATTGGTGTGTGGTCCGTAGATTTAAGAGGGCATGCTATCAAAGGGAATGGTCTTGAGAACAGGACAGACTGCTTTCAGATGCAGAACGAAATTACTAAATTTTGGCTTATGATAGAGGCAGTGAACAAAAGAGAGTCCTGCCCAAAACCCAATCCATGAGTTAGAAGATTAGCTGCAGAATTCTAAGGAGAAGAAGGAGATGGAAGGTAAGGAGTAAAATGAGATGGTACTTGGGGGAGATAGGGGCAGGGATGGATGGTTGGGTGGATGGATGGACAGACAGGCAGACAGTGCTCGAGAGAGGGGCTAGAGACGTTGCCGAACCAAGAATGGGAGGAAGAGAAGAGAACGAAGAAAGGCTGGAACAACATTTCCCTAGTTGGAGGAAGACTTGAACACTCAGGGTGAGAATTTCTGTGGACGGCTAGGCACTGCTAATCTGATTTCTACACCAGGCAGGCTGCAGAATGGGCTCTGGTTGAGGTCCCCCATGACTGCCCTGAGGCTCCTCTGGGCTTTCTTCTTTGGGCTTCTACCATCAGCTTCTGGCTCTGCCGACCAGCCTCCTTTGCAAGGCCTCTTATTCTCTTGTCTTTCAGGGCAACATGTTTCCCTCCTTCTCTTCGAGAGATTCTTTTTTCTCTGCCCATAGCTGACCTACTGGGTACATCAGAGCCCTCCGTGCGTTCCAGACCTCCCTCTCTGGGAGCTCCATGCGGTTGCCTTCCCGGGCCGCAGACCTGGCTATGCTTGTTGTCGTCTGCCCCAAAGGGTTCCGTGGGCCTGTCTCAAAGTCAGCCCCTTTTCCTCAGCTTGCTACGTGCGAATGTGACACCACCCCCAGCCCTGCATCATCCCGGACTCTGCCCTTATCCCCACGGTGACTCTGGCCTTGGACCCTTCTCCATATCTTTTTGCTGGTGTTATCACTACTTTTCTCTCTGCCTCTTTAAATCCTATAGATGCGGTGAATCTGCCACCTTCCCCGGGTCAGGCCCCTCTGGGGTCCCCCTGCCTCTGTTCTCTGCCACAATCCTTTCTCAAAGTAGACTGTGTGGGCCAGCTGTTCCAACATTCAAGTCCGATCACACCCTCCTGGTCTCCTGAGGGCAGCTGTAAACGCCATCCTAGACGGGGTGGTTGAAAATAACAAATTTACTCTCTCGCATTCTGGAGGCCAGAGGTCTGAAATGGGTTTCATCCGGCCCAAACACAGATGTCAGGAGGGCTCTGGGGGGCAGAGGGCGGGGAAATCATTTGCTTGCCTTTTCTGACTCGGCGAGCTGTGTGCCTTAGCTCACGGACCTTTCTCCATCCTCATCCAGCTTAGTACCTTCCCGTCTCTCTGTCTCTCTGCTGGGGTTGGTGTTCCAGAAGCTCCCTCTGCCTCTCTTATAAGGACACGTGTAATTACATTCAGGGCCCACCCAGGTAACCTAGGATGGTCTCCCTATTCCAAGAACCTTAATTTAATCACACCTGGGGGGTTCCTGTACTGTACAAGGTAATGTTCACAGGCTCCCTAGATTAGGACCTGGCTACCTTTGGGTCCATTATTCAGCCTACCATACCTCCCGTGGCACCTCGAACTCCTTGACATGGTCAAGGTCCCAGAAGCACCCTCCTCCCCCATTTTGCACAGCTCTGGGATACGTGTGGCTTCCATCTGGACCACTCTGCCCTAAACTTCTGCCAGTTCCTTCTCATCCCAGAGGCCTCAGCCTAGACAATGCTTCCTTCAGAAAGCTCCTGGGAGGGGCGCTTGGGTGGCTTAGTGGGTTAGGGCCTCTGCCTTTGGCTCGGGTCATGATCCCGGGGTCCTGGGATCGAGCCCCGCGTCGGGCTCTCTGCTTGGCAGGGAGCCTGCTTCCCTCTCACTCTCTGCCTGCCTCTCTGCCTACTTGTGATCTCTGTCAAATAAATAAATAAATAATCTTAAAAAAAAAAAAGGAAGAAAGAAAGAAAGCTCCTGGGACCCCACACATTTCCAGATTAGGTGCCCTTCTGTGTGGTGCCCTAGCATCTGCTTCCCTTGCTAGAACAGTCTCCTGTTATCCATCTCTTACTGCATCTTGAGGACGGGGCTGTGCCTGTTCTCTTTGCTGTTGAATCACCATCAGTAAGGGCAAAAGGCACATACATGTCAGGCATACGAGAAGTGATTGTGAAATGTGTGCATTTAAACCTGCATAGGGGCGCCTGAGTGGCTCAGTGGATTAAGCGGCTGCCTTCTGCTCAGGTCACTCGATCCCTGGGATCGAGTCCCTCATTGGGCTCCCTACTCAGTGGGAATCCTGATTCTCCCTCTGCTTCTGCCTGCTGCTTCCCCTGCTTGTGGTCTCTCTCTCTGTCAAATAAAAAAAAAATAAATAAATAAATAAATAAACCTTCATAGGAAGGGGACTTTTTTCCCATTTTTTAAATTTAAATTCAATTTAATTAACATATACTGTATTACTCGTTTTGGAGGTAGAATTCAGTGATTCATCAGTTGCGTATAATACCCAGTGCTCATTACGGCAAGTGCCCTCCTTAATACCCATCACCCAGTTACCCCATCCCCCACCCCCAACAACCCTCAGTCTGTTTCCTAGTTAACAGTCTCTTTTGGTTTGCCTCCTGCTCTGTTTTTCTCTTAGAATGGATACTTTTTTAAAAAGTGGGCACTGACTAGTTATGGGTAATTATCACTTAAAAAAACATAAAACTTTCTTACCAGTCTGATTCTCTTTCTCCTTTTTCTTTCATTCTTTTCTCTCCTTCCTTCCTTCCTTCCTTCCTTCCTTCCTTCTCTTCCTCTTCCTCCTTCTTCTTCTTCGCAGTACATATGTATTCTGATTTTTTTTTTTTTTTTTAAGTAGTATGGAGCCCAGTGCAGGGCTTGAACTCATGACCCTGAGATCAAGACCTGAGCTGAGGGGGTGCCTGGGTGGCACAGTCGGTTAGGCGTCTGACTCTTGGTTTCTGACTCTTGGTTTTGGCTCCAGTCATGATCTCAGGGTTTTGGGATCGAGCCCCATGTCAGGCTCTCTGATCAGCGTGGAGTCTGCTTGAAGCTTTCTCTCCCTCTCCCTTTGCCCTTCTTTCCTGCTTGTGTGAGCTCTCTCTTGCTCCCTCCCTAAAATAAATAAATAAGTCTTAAAAACAGAAACAAAAACAAAACCTGAGCTGAGATAAAGAGTTGGACGCTTAACCTACGGAGCCACCCAGGCACCCCTGAACTCCAATTTTTATGATTTTTTTTTTCCTTTTAGGAAAAATCAAGAAATTAAAATTTAGAACTTAGAGAGAATGACTGTGTCCTTAGGATACCACTTTTGGGTACACAGTTGGGAACTGAGTTTTCAGAACGAAACTCAGCCTTCAACTCCCCTCCCTGCACCAATGCCCCCTTTATTAGGTGGCCTCTTGTATTTGTCTCCTGTGACTCCTTTAACAAAGTGTCAACATATAACAGCTTAAAACAACACAAATTTATGATCTTAGGGTTTTTTAGGTCAGTACCTACAGGGTCTCACTGGGCTAAAATCAAGGTATCAGCAAGGCTGTGTTCTAGAGGACCTAGGGAAAAATTCATTTGCTCATCCTTTTCAGCTTCTAGAGGCCGCCATGTTCTTTGGATTTGTGACCCTCTTCCTCTAGCTTCAAAGCCAGCAACAACAGATTGTGTCCTTTTCACATTGTATCACCATCACACTGTCTTTTCTGCCTCCCTCTTTCATTCTCTTTTATATCATGGTGAAATACACATGAAATGTATCAACTTCATCATTTTTTTTTTTTAAAGATTTTATTTGTTTATTTGACAGAGAGAGATCACAAGTAGACAGAGAGGCAGGCAGAGAGAGAGAGAGGGAAGCAGGCTCCCTGCTCACACAAGACAGAACAACTTCTACTTGCTTCTCCTGGATCCTTTGCTCTGCTCACACAAGACAGAACAACTTCTACTTGCTTCTCCTGGATCCTTTGCTACTGGCCATGCTGTGAGGACATGTGAGCCGCCCTATTGAGAGGTCCAGGCTGTGGGGCAGAACTGAGGCTTCTTGACAACACCTGCGTGCACAAGCCATCTTGGAAATGGGTTCTCTGACCCCGGTCAAGCCTTCAGATAGACTGTAGCCTCTGTGAGAGATCTTGAGGCAGAATCATTTAGCTAATCCACTCCCAACTCCCTGACCCACAGTAAAGGTAGGAAATAACCAGCATTTATTAGTGCTTTAAGCTAACTTGGGGGGGGTAATTTGTTATATGACAATAGTTAATTAAAATATAGATTCTGCTTTGGGGTAAGACATGGGAGGCTTCAGGACCTAATCCTCTAGGTGTAGGAAGTTGCAAAAGGATTTTAAGGGGGAACCCCCTAGCTCCAACGAGCAGATCCCAACTTGGGTCTTTTCCCTCTTCAGGGCGCCCACTCTCAACCCATGGCCGCGGCTTACATTATCTTCCCATGTGGCATGCGCAAATTGGATCTCTGCCAAAAGGAAACCTTTCTGACTGATCTCTTGACTCTGAGACCCATTCGGATTTTCTGGGTCCTCTCTAGTCCAGGCAGGCCAGGGGGTGACTTTATTCCAACCCTGGATCTGTTGGGTCCAGCTCCTCTGTAGGCCGCACCCCCTCAGCTTCCGCCCCCACACCAGCTCCAGAGTGCAGGGCCACGGTGTGGTGCCTGAGGGTCCGGGAGCCTGTCTGACCGTGTTGGCAGACCCCCCGCTGCTCCTGCTTCTCCGTGGCTGACGTCCAGGTGCTCTTTTCTCTGTACCCCAGAGCCCTGAAACCGCCTCTCTCGGATGAGAGGTCTGAAGACTCTGCGTCCTTGAGTGGGAGGCTTCCCCCAGAATGGAAGCCGTGTCACACATCCCCACCCCCTTCCACTCTAGGTGACCTGGGACATGAGTTCCTGAAACGGTCTCCTGAGGTGGCCACGCTCACCTTGCCATCCCAGGTGGCGTCCATGGTTCCCAGACACCGTGAAAGTAACCTGTCCCTCCTGCCAACACCTGTAGACGTATTGCGGGGAGGAAGGCGGCCTTTCTGGGCACCCCATGTGAGGGACAGAACGATGGCCTTCCCTGCCATGGGAGAGGCTGTCAGTGTCCACCCGCGTTCTCTAGGCACAGACACTCACTCGACCAATGCCGCTGTCAATGGGAAGCTTTCAAGCAAACAGGAAGTGCCCGGGGACAACACCCACAGGAGAAGCTCTCAGCCAATGGCTGAAGAGTATCAGTGACCAGCTGCCTCATCCACTGGGTGGATGGCTGAGGTATGCTCTACACTCTCTCCCAGAATCCCCAGCAAGACTGAGCCCCAGTTGCCCACAGTGGTACTGGGCTCCACAGGCCCCGGGTTGGTGTCCTTTACTCCCCCACTCCCCACCTCCCACCCAGGCAACCTGCACTGGCATCTGTGTCTTGGGACCTACATTGGAGGGGACCCAAATTCTGACACCCACCCGCGGTTATCACTGAACTTCACAGGTGCCTCATGCTGGAAGTGGGGAAAGGAAGAGGTATAGTGCTCTGAAGCTTCTACAAATAACTTTCTCAAAAACCAAACTAGAACAAAACTCCTCTGTCCAGCCCCATGCAGAATTTCTCTTCTTTCAGCTTCTCTGAACCTGACAGAGAATTGTCCTCTCATGTGGCAGCTTGGTGTCCCTTCCACTTAGTCACCTGGGGTCTCATGTCTTCAGGGGTCTGTGTCAGGGTGTGGGATTGGGGAGAGGAGAACAGATCTCCCATGGCATCACAGATTATGGCCACAAGCAAAAACCCTCTGGTAGACTTTGGTAAGCCGATGACTGGCCATTCTAAACCTTCACCCAGACCTCGTCTCCAAGTTCCTGACCCTAGAGCCAACTGCTTACTTGACATAGCCACAGGATGTGCCTCAAACCAGAGACATCCCCGTCCCTCTCCACCAAAGACACTTCTCTTCCAGCTTGTGATTACTCTCTGGTCTCCTGGACCCAGGCTGTCACCTGTGAGTCCTGCCCCGCCACCACCTCCTGAATCGATCGTCTCCTCTGCACCCCCGCTGTTACCCCATCACACGATTAGGGCTATGTGGTGTTACCACTGTAACCCTGCAACGTGGTTGCATCTGAGTCTGCCCAGAATCCACAACTTTTGACACATGACTGTGGTTTTTCTCACTAGCGGTGCAGTGTTCTTCCCATGCTTTGGCTTTGGCCTTGGCCATGTGACCCACTTTGGCCAACGAGATGTTTTAAAGTCTTGAAATGTGCTGGTGGGGCAAGATGAGTTCTCTTGTGCCTCGACCATCACGATGAGGAGAACATACCGTGGCGAGCACACTGGTCTCTGGAAGGGGAGAGAACGCCAAGCAGAGCTTGAGGTCTGCAGCATGAAGCAGAGCTGTCCCAACGGCCCCCCCACAAAGGGTAAGTGTTTTCAATCCTGAGTTTTAGGGTTGTGTGTCGCACTGCGGTATGTAGCCCTAGAAGACTGACACCTCTCTGTGGTGTAAGCCATCACAATTTTGTTTCTTCATTGACGTAATAACCTCTTGGCTGGTTTCCAGGTTCTAACCTTACCCCTTGCTAATCCATTCTCCTAATGGTAGCCTGAATACAGAAGCACCAGCCTGTCCTCGAGTTCTCTGCCATGTTCCCTGTTTCATGGCTTCGACTCATGACTTTTCTGATCTCTCAACAATTTTCTTTCAGATGTTACCTCACCGTCTCACACTAGGGAGGTGAGGTCCATGGCGCTACGAAATTCATGATTTAAGGTTCTCACTGCCAACATGGGTGAAACCCAAGCTCCTCACTGTGGCCTGCCGTGCGAGGCCTGACCAGCGCCTCACCTGTGCCCATCTCCCCGCGCCCTCTCCCTGCTCCTCCACACACTACTTTCGCCATTCCCTCATGACCAAAGCCAGCCGGCAGGACGCTGGACCCTCCTCTTGCCTGGCCACTCAGCGGCTTCCAGATTCTCCTTGCCCTCCCTTCCCTGGGCGTGGGTCTGGGGAGGAAGAGGTTAAAGTTGTTGGAAGGCCTGGGCAGCCCAGGCCTGTTCTTAATCAGGGCCCAGCAGGAAGGCGTGGGGCTGCTGGCTGGGTCCTGGGAAGTCTCCACAGCAGAGCGATTAGGTGCGGTGAAGGAGAGAACATGCTGAAGGTTCGTCTCTGTGCACAGCGGAGGGTGGGGCGGTCAAGGCCTCAAAGTGGCAAAGCCCTGAGAGTTGGCTTTGTGGCTGTGGAGACTCGGCCAGCTCCGGGTGGAGGGTCAGCATCTCACACAGGCCGGGAGAGGCCCATGGACTGCTCCTGCTGGCTGAGCTGTCCTGCCCTCCCCTCCTTGGCTCCTTCCAGACATTTCTTGGCCTGGGAAGCATGCTGGTCCTCCAAGAAACTCCCCCTAGCTGGCTCCTCTCGGCTGCTCTGCCTCTCCGAGAGAGAGGTGGCGTTGGCTCTCCGTCCGGCCCTGCAGTTTGAACAGTGTTCAGGCCGAGGCCCGGGGGAGCTGTGTTCCTGAGACGCCGCAGGAGCCAGGGTCTCAACTCATCCTGAACTTTGTTTCTTGGCTGCACAAATGGAACGTAAAACACGTCTCACCTTCCACCTTCTGTTCCAGCCACCCCAGACCACACACGGCCTCTGACACGGGCAGGCTTTTCGTGGCTTTGAGCCTACTATAGCTCTGCCCGGAATAGCCTTTGCTACCCAAGGAACTTCTGGTTGCCCTTTAAGGCTCAATCCAGATGTTACCTCCTTCCTGAAGTTCCCCCCTTCCTATATACCCAGTCCTGTCTTTCTAGGTGCTTCCACGGAGCACCTGAAACTATCAGATCAGGGGCCTCTCCCATTAGGGTTCCTTTGGAGCACCTGACCCCTTATTAAAACTGAACCTGGCCTAAGGCCTGGTTCTGGACTTATAGCCAACTCCTGAGGTCAGTGCTGCTGGTCCCTGGGCCACAGTCCAGGAAGCAAAGATTTAAAGCATTTATCTCATTCTCTCGCTTGTCTGACAAGCCACATGTGAAACGGTTTGAAAAAAATACAACTTACCTTCTCCTTTGAACTCCCATTCAGGTAGTAGCAGAAAACATGCTGGTTAATTTCTGGTAAACTTGCTCATTCCAGGTTAAATTAATTCTAAAATTAATGGTTAATTCTAAAATTTTCCTTTCTGTCTGCCCGCCACCCCCCTCCGCTTCTCTCTAGGGTCTCATCTCAGTTTTGCTGCAAATGCTGCTGCTGCCAGTGGTGGTGGGGGCTGGGGGGCTTGTGTGGTGTCTTGGCAGCTGGGGCCTGGGGGAGGCATCTGATGCTGGGTGGGTGTCCTGCTGGTTGTGGGTAGCGCACCCTTCCACTCCGGCTCCCCCAAGATGTCTGAGCTCCCATATGGTCCTCGGGATGGCCCAGACCACCGCCTTTTTGTGGGTCCCCTTGTCCTGAGCTACCCTCAGGTCCCTCAGCTTTTCCCATCTGGCTTCCATGCCCTTCTCTGGGGTGAGGAGAATGTCAGTCGTCTCCCACAGCCCCCTCCAGAGGCCGCCAGAAGCTTTCTGTACCTGCCTAGGTCCCTCCCTTGACCTAGGCAGACCCCAGGTCACAGGACCGACCAGCTTACTGCTGGCGCCTGGAGGAGTTCCTTCCCACTTTCAGGTCCCAAACTGATCCAGAAATCTGAGGGCCTTCTTGTCCACTCCCCCAACTTTCTGGATCTAACCCTAGAGAGGAGGCAGCCTGTGGACCCCTCAGAAATCCCCACCAGCTACTAACTGACTTGCTTCATGGCCTGCTCACTCTCCCTCCCACCTCCCTGCCTCCCATAGGGCTACGTTTACTTTGTAATTTTTTTACTACTTAATATATGCATATTAAACAAGTAATTCACATAGTACAAAAGCACTCAAATTGTTACACAGTTTATTTACTTTTCTTATCTAAGACAATGTTGTTCAAGTCTCTACCATAGTGATGGCAAATCCCCATGCCTCCACTCTGCCTCATCTCTCCCCCTCCCCTCTTCTCCCCTCCCCTCCCTTCCCCTCCTCTTCACTCCCCTCCTTTCATTCTCCCTTCCCCACCACTCTCCTCCTGTCTCCCCTCTCCTCCCCTCTCCTCTGCTCTCCTCTCCTCAGTTCCGGTTGATTGTTACTATTGGTTCTGGGGCTTTATTTCTCCGTGGGGATGAATTAATGTGTTTCTGGGAGACAGATCTTCTTTGTGTAAGACGGGCGAGCACTTTGCACTTGCTCCTAAGCTTTGATCCCAACCCACAGGAAGGCGTGAGTGCTGCTGAAGCTCCGGGACCACCAAAGATGCAGACACTGCCCCTGGCTGAAACCTGCCTTCAGTGGACCCTTGGACACCCCTCCCCATAACTCTATTACCTGGGCTGTCTGCTTGCAACATCTTTTTTTATTCCCTTGCTATAAAAAAATGAAGAAATCAGGATACTTAACAACCGCTTACCTCCCTTGGTTTTATGGTTTTTGTATCATAATGGGGTATAACATTTATGTGGTTTTTGGAACCATAATTCCAAAAGTTGTCTTAACTTTAATCCCAAACATTAGTACATTCAGTGATCTCTTTGGATGCCTTTCCCCCTCTTTCTTGATCCATTTGCTTACCAGACTTTATCTTTCTTCAAGTATTTTCTTCAAGATGGCTGAAGTTGTGTCGATTTGAGATATTAGTGTGTTTTATATTCGGATTACAGTTTGAGTTGATGTAAATTCTTGGGTCAGGTTTTCTTTCTCTGTGGACGCCATGGTGTTGTAAGAGGTACCCGACTGCTTCATTGTTTTCTAGCTTGGAATGTTGCTGTGCTGTTGTTTGTGCCAGCCTGACCTTTCTTCCCCCAAAGATTGATTGATCGATCGATTGATTATTTATTTGTTTGTTTATTTATTTATGAGAGAGCACAAGCAGGGGGAGCAACAGAGGGGGAGGGAGAAACAGCCCCTGCTGAGCAGGGAGCCGGATGTGGGACTCAATGCTGGGACCTTGGGATCATGACCTGAGCTGAAGGCAGACCCGTAACCCACTGAGCCACCCAGGCGCCCTGATTTTTTTTTTTTTTTTTTTCAAATGGGTGATTTGACTTTACTGCTGGGTAACTAAAGGAATCTTTATCTTTGAAGTACGGTAACATTATTAGGATGTGTTGGTGTTGGCTGGTCTAGCCCTTTAGCAATTCATTCAATCAACGTTTATTGGGACTCTCCGGTGCCAGGCATGATTTTAAACGTGGGGGACACAGCAGTGAACAAAAAGGACAAGAACCCCTGTTCCTACACTTCATGAAACTTTCATTTTGGTGAAAAACTTAGGAAAGAAAACTCTACCCATTTTCTCACAACATAGTATGCCCTTTAAATCTGTAAACTCAAGTTTTTTGTTTAGGGAAGTTTTCTCAATTCATATATTTGAATGCCAGTATACGTGTGTTGGAATCCTTTGTTTTTGTTCCATATTTGTTATTCTCTTCCTTTTAAAATTCACTGTTTTGGCTTCTAAAGTATTTTTTTTATCTTTCGGGGAGGGGGTACAGAGGGAGAGAGAATCTTAAGCAGGCTCCATGCCCTGTGTGGAGACCAACATGGGGCTCGATCTCACAACCCTGAGATCATGACCTGAGCCGAAATAAAGAGCTGGACACTTCACCAACTGAGCCACCCAGCTGCCCCTAAAACTCATTGTTATTGTCCATGTTATGGTGCTCATTTTTCTGGAATTCATCTCTGATGTTTGAAGCTGAATTTTTCCCATTTTTTTTTAGTGCTTCTCTACGCCCTTCATTAATGTGATGATTTTATGTTTCTCTTCTACTTTTTTTCCTAAGTCCTGACAGCTTATATTTCTCCTCTTCCCTTTGTCTTAAATTTTATCTTGTGTGCTTATAACTTTTCTTTGAATTATTGTTTATAGGTGATTCTTTCATTAAGTTATTGAATTTATGAGAAAATCTTTGTCACAACTTATCTATCCAAGACAAAGTCTTTCTCAAGTGGGAGTAAGGGGTCTCTCTCTCTGGATCTTTAGAAAGCTCTAGACAACAATATAGAATACTAACAGTAATATATATTAACAGTAGTATGAACAGTAATACATATTTACTTCTTACACTACACTATAGTAACTTGACAGGCTTTTGTCTCCTGATTGTTGAAAGCACTTCTGGCATTGTTCCTATTTATTGAATGTTTGCTTGTGACCAACAGAGGCTTCTACATCACAATGGAGGAGAAAATGGGAGTGTGGGATAGGAAGGGAAGATAGGGGAGTGAGGGCAGGGTGCCAGGCCAACTTCTGCTGACTTCACAATTTTTCCAAGAGTGGGTGGGTGTTGTGTTCTCACCCCAAGAATTCTGAGGTGATGCTTCTGTTGTTTCCAATGCCCAGCCTTTAGAGATTACAAAGAAGCAATAACCTGACTTTCTCTACTCTCACCCCCGGACATATACCAACCTCAGTTTCCTCATTCAGTTTCAGTTTTTAAGTGAGGCTAGCAGAGTGAGGACCCAGTAGTTGTCATTCTCTACCTGGTCTGGGCTGCTGCGGAGGCAGAAAGCACAAAGGCTGAGAGACACTTTTGATAGACTGCCTAGATTCATATCCTAGCTCTGACTCTTGTTGCTATGATCTTGGGCAAGTTATCCAACCACTCTTTGCCTCAGTTTCCTTTTCTGTAAGAATGAAGATAATAATAATACCACCTACCAGGGCTATATGAGAATTAAATGAGCTAAAACCTGTGGCAAGTATTGTGGCAAATAACATGATAGGATTAATTTTTTCATTTCCTTCATTCACAGATATGTGTCGAGCACTCTCAATATGGCTGTTGGAGAAGAACTGATAAACTGACAAATAAGACGCCATCTTGGCTGTTGGGCTGGTTGACCTGAGGAGGTGCTCACTGTAGATACATTTTGAAATGTTGCTGTGAGATCACTGAAGAAGTGACAGAGTGGGTGAGGAAAGGCTCTTCAGGGAGGGCTTCCTGAAAGAAGGGGCACTGGAGCCGAGTTTTGGAGAATGAGCAGTCATCAAGAGTAGGTCCAGAATATGGGAAGGGCTTTAAGTAGAGTTCTAATTGGATTACGGAATTAAGGGATGCAGCAGATGCTATGATTGACTGATCTTTTACTTGGATTGCATGTTTTAGTTGGGAAGATGAAGGGTGGAGGGCACTGATGGACATTACATCGAGGGTAATGAGAGAAAGAGCCCAGCAGAGAGGGGGAGGAAAGAGTTTCCAGGAGAAAGGGAACGCTCGAGCCAGTTAATGGAGGTGTGAGAAGGCATGGCACGTTCAGGGAACCCACCACCCAGGATCTCTCAAGAATGCCCAGGGGCCAGGTTTCCATGGACAGGGACCATCCCACCTGACCATGTACCTGAGCTGACAGAGATGAAAGGGCCAACAGGTGGGAGATGAACAGACTATGTGACCGGTCAGATAGAGACTCCAAGCAAGCACTTTCCACCTCTGCCCATTTCTTCCTTTTCTGAGACCACTAACCCATTTTACCTGCCCACCTTACTCTGCTGCAAGCCACAGAGGATGATGCCCAGACACTGTATGAGCTGATGGTGGGCACAGGATCTCTAAGTTCATGTAGACTTAGGGATCAAGACTGCCATCTGGGCAGAAGTTAGAGCAGATATGAGGAGAGAAGGCAATACAAGAAGCAGGGAAGAAGAAAGGGAGGGAGAGAGGGAGACAGAGAGATGGGGGGCAAGAATGAGAGGAGATTGTAGGTCACAGTCTAGCCCTCTTGATGCTGGCTCACTTCCTTCCCATGAGTTCTACAAGGAATTTTATTCCTTAAAATCAGTTTCTCTTTACTTAGACTGGCTCAGAGGGCTTCTGTTTCTTGTAATCAGAGGGTGCAGTGAATTGGTTTCTCTAAGTCTCGATTTCTGAGCCCACCAAATGCATTATTGGACAAGATGTTGTTTAATGTTTTCTTTTCTTTCTTTTTTTTTTTTAGCTCCTTGATTTTGATATTTCTTTTATTTCACCATGCCTAACATGGTCCCTTGCACACCACAGATGTCTCGTAAATATCTATCAACATAATTTTGAATGTGTATTGCATTATGACAGGATAACATTTTCACACCAAGTAATTAGTATTTCAATACATCCAAGAATGGAGGGGGAGCTTTGATGGAATGTAACCTTGGGGTCAAAGAAACTTGAATAGATGGCTAGAAAAATTATATGAAATCTCCTATCTAATCTGAAACACAGTTCAGTTACCAAATTCTGTTTATTTATTTTTATTTTTTAAAGATTGTATTTATTTATTTGAGAGAGAGCAAGCTAGAGAGAGAGCGTGAGCAAAAGCTGGGGGAGGTGCAGAGGGAGAAGCAGATTTTCTCACTGAGCAATGAGCCGGATGTGGGGCTCCATGTGGGGCTCGATCCCAGGACCCTGAGACCATGACCTGAGCTGAAGATAGACACTTAACTGACTGAGCCACCCAAGCACCCCACCAAATTCTGTTTATAAGCACTTTGTTTAGGGGGATAGCTGTGCAGAGAATTTTTGACTTACGCCTCTCTACCAATACTTATTGGGAAAAGTTGCATATTTGCAAGGAATGAACTGACTCTAAGCTATATACTTTGAGTCCTTCACTTTCCTTTTTCCCCCTCTCACCATCCCCCATCTGCACTTGAAGTGGAGGAGGGAAAAATCCAGGAAAGGCAGGTCTCGTCTCTGGGGCCGGAGACTGGCACACCTGAGTCTTAGGTGCCAACTGTATGAGAGCTTTAATCTGCCCTCCCATCTCCAAGGATGAGTCCAGACACTGTACTGTATAAATATTTAAGATGCTATGGAAATTTCTTAGTGGTGGATAAAGTGGATGCTTTTAATTAAGAAAGCCCTTCTCCATGACAGATAAAGCTGTGGGGTTCAGTGACAAAGTCTTTGTTACTCAAATTTCCCTAGTCTCTCCACTTTATGAGAACAAATGGTCCCATCAACAGCCATTAACAGAAATTTCATCAGCTCACTGAGACTTCGGCCATCCATACTTCCATACTGGTTTTGGAGGTGGGGGTGCTTGTGGGGGGGAGATTCCCAGAGGCCTCCCTTGCAAGCTCATAAGCAAATCCAGGAGGCTCCAGACTCGTGTTCACTGATATCCTGGTTGTGTCGGCCATGCCCACCTCATCTTACTAAGTTCTTTTTCTTCCTTTGTATTATAGGATTTTATTTTATTTATTTATTTTTAAAAAAGATTTTATTTATTTATTTGACAGAGAGAGATCACAAGTAGGCAGCGAGGCAGGCAGGGGGGCAGGGAAGCAGACTTCCTGCTGAGCAGAGAGCTGATGTGGGGCTTGATCCCAGAACCTGGGATCATGACTTGAGCCGAAAGCAGAGGCTTAACCCACTGAGCCACCCAGGCGCCCCCAGGCTTTTATTTTTGTGTGTTTTCCCCTCTGGCTTTATTGAGATATAATTGACATACAACATTAAGTAAATGGAAGCTGTACAGCATGATGATTTGATATGTATATATATTGCAAAACAATTACACCAATAAGGTTAGTTAACACATCCATCAGTGGCCAGAGTTACCATTTTTTATCCTGTCAAATTCTTTAATGGTCACTGCTGTATAAGGAACAACCCAGACCTGAGTGACTTAAGATGTAACCGTCTATTTAGCTGGGGCTTGTACTGGTTGGCTATCTGGGCTAGATTCAGCTGGATTTCTTCCTGCATCAGCGGTCAACTCAGGATTGGGTAGAGGGCTTTCAGATCTTGGTTGGGTCTTTCACATGTCTGGAGGGCCTCAGTTGGGACAGCTGGGTTGCCTTGGCTCTGGGTCAAGAGATCTCTCACCTTCCAGCAGGCTAACTCAGGCTTACTCACGTGGCAGTGGAGAGGGTAGGAGAATGCAAGGCTTCTTGACGTCAGGGTCTGAAAAGGTACAGTGTGACTTCTGCTACATTCTGTTGGCCAAAGCAACAGTATCAACCCAGATTCAAGGTGGGGAAGTAGGTTCCCCCTTTTTGTGGGAGGAACTGTGAAGTGTTTGCCGGGAGGGGAGTAACTGTGACTGTTGTGGCAATTCATCTACTACTTTCTGGGTAATGTCAACATACCAAGCCCTTGAAATGGAGAAGCGGAGTGAAGTGTAGGTCTCTCAAGTGTTGCTTAGCAGGAGGGTCCCCAACGCACAGCTGCTTGGGCCCCAGAGTCTCCCTGCAGTTTATGAAATAGTTCTTGGAGTTGTAACATAGAGTTTCTATCTTCCTAGGATCCCTGGTGTGTCCAGAGAGCCAAGTTGGGGGCAGAGTTGAATGACAATTCCATCTTCCTTCTGGCACTAAAACTTTGTTACTAGACCAAACCAAACATGGTTTCTTCTTTCCTTAGAATGAAAATAATCTCCCAGGAGGACTTTTTTCACCTTCCAAGCAAATAGATTTCCAGCCAGCCCACCATGCTAGTGTGCCAGACATGTCCAGATATATTTGGATCCCAGTGGCAGACATCGCTGAGTCTTCTCTAATTCTCTATAACTCATTAGATTTTCTTTTGCAGAGTCTCTCTTCCTGGATAGCAGAGGGAAAAAATGGAGTCTGAGGCAATAATTCAAACGGTGTCTCTGATCTCCTTAGAGATTTCCCAAGTTCTTCCTGTGGTGGCACGTGAGGTGGTGCCTCTGGGTCTCCATTAGGCCTCCCCGCAGAAAGTCTGCTCCAGACCAACCCTTGAAAGCAGAACGCTGAGGGGTGATGGCCCTATTCCTCAGTGCTTGGCTGTGGAAGCCTGCGGCTTGTGTACCTCATGGACTGGGTGCTCCGTGCTCCTTCAGAGCTCTGCAGTGCCCCCTGACTTCCCCAACGATGTTAACCAATGTTCCTTCACCAATATTCCCTCTGAGACCTCATCATGTCCTCCCGTCAGTCCCTGACCAAACCTCCAGGGTCTACTTGTCTCTCTCCATGCTGGGCCTTAGATCAGATGATTCGTGTGTTCTGTGTCACAACCCCTCAGCCCACCTCTGACCCTAGCAGAACTGTGGGGCACAGCTTCATGCACAGTGACTCCTCCCACCTCTAGTGACAAAGGCAGTGGCTCTGCTTTTCTGTTCCAGATGTTTCCTTGAAACATAACCAGAAGTAAGAAGAAGTAAACTTTCCTGGGAGACATCCTCAACTGGTGGGAGATGAGATAAATGCCCCAGCCCCCTGAACTTCAGAGAGGACCATTTTGAGGCACATTTTATACAGTTCATCAGAGGGGCCCCAGAAGAATGGAGACCCAGTTGTACACCCTTTATTAGCGTCTCCTCCTGCCCTGTCTTACGTCCCTGCTTTCTGGATCAACTCCAGGTAAGTGACCTGTACCCAAGTCCTTACCTCAGATTTCTGTTTTTGAGAGAACTCAAACTAAGACAGGCCCTGCAGAAAGCCCGAGACTCACAAGTTAGCTTCCTTCTGAGGCCCCTGGTCCTGGGGAGCAGGAAGGAACTTCTGCATCATGTCTGGACCACTGAGGACTTACAGGTGACTCCAGAAACTAAATCCAGGCCAGGACCTAGCTCTGTATAACCATGGTGATCCACGAAGCTGACTTTAAAGAGGCTGCCCCCTCTCCTAGCCCAGTGCCTGAGGACAGGGGAGGAGGAGGTAGGCAGCCCATGTGGTTATCTCCTCAGAACCTCCCTTAACCCAGTGACATACCTCCTCACTCTGGTCAAAGGTCACAATCACGGAAGATGCGACCTTTCCTTCAGACTGTCTGTCTCCTGCTTCTTCCTCTCTTCTCCCACAATCCACTGGGAACTCAAGAGTGGGCTTTGGGCCACCAACTCTTCTCTGCAGACCTTCCTTCTACCCAGGCGTGTGGTAGAGCTCTGATCTACTGGCAAAGCCTGCCCCTTTCGATGTTCTGTGGAGACATGAGGAATTTGGAAAATCATTTTCTCTCTGGCCACGCTTGACATTCCTGCCACTGCTTCGCTAAAGAGATGAGGGAAGTCGACTTTGAGACTCTGAGTCAGTCAGTGGCTTCCTCGCTCTCTAACCTTGCGCTGTCCCAACAGGGTAGCCAACAGCCACATGTGGCTACAGAGCACTGAAACACAGCTGCTACTACTGAAGAACTAAATTTCAAGTTCATTTAATCTTAAAATTTAAATGTAAAAACTGATATACTCAGTTCAGTTATTGGCTAACTTTAGAGTATATCTGAAACAACTTGAGCCTGTGAATCTACTTTCTCAGATAGAGATTTTATAAAGCCTAAACTCAGATCAAGTATTTTTTAATGAAAATCTAACGTTCGAATTGAGATGTGCTGAAATAGAAATACAGCCTTAGTACATGACCAGAATGCAAAATACCTCATGAGTCATGTCTTTATATTGTTTACATGGTGAAAATGGTAATATTTTGAATTGGGTTAAGTAAAATATATCATGAAAATTAATTTCACTTGTTTTGTTTTGTTTTTAAACTATTTTCAATGTAGCTAGAAAGTTTTAATTGAGCCTGTGGCTTGCACTGTATTTCCGTTGGCCAGCCTGTGTTCTAGAGAGTGCTATCTGCTGCTTCCCTGGAGCCATGTGCCTCCAGGGCCAGTCCCCAGGGGTGGATGGTGGCAAGAAAAGAAGGTTTTGAGGGTGGGCTTTCATGTAGCTGTTTAGTATTTGTGAAGTATTAAACCTGTTACAGATGTATTGTCCCTATATCCACTGGAAGTATAAGAACCTTTTCCTTTCTCTTCTGTGGCTTCTGTATGGGGAAATTGATGGAAAGAAAGATGTTTTCTGGTATCTTGAATTAATCAATTTATTCACCAGCATGGAAATATAAGTAGAAGGGAATGGATTCTTTTTTTTTTTTTTTTAAATATTTTATTTATTTATTCGACAGGCAGAGATCACAAATAGGCCGGGAGGCAGGCAGAGAGAGGAAAGGAAGCAGGCTCCCTGCTGGGCAGAGAGCCCAATGTGGGGCTCGATCCCAGGACCCTGGGATCATGACCTGAGCTGAAGGCAGAGGCTTTAATCCACTGAGCCATCCAGGTGCCCCCTTTTTTTCTTTTTTTTTTAAAGATTTATTTTAGACAGAAAAAGAGAGAAAGTTGGGGGGGGGAGGGAGGCTGAGGGAGAGGGAGAGAGGGAGTCTCTAGCACACTCCCCAGTGAATAGAGAACCCAACTGGGGCTTGATCCCAGGACCCAGAGATTATGAACTCAGCCAAAACCAAGAGTCTGTTGCTTAACCAACCAGCCAACCAGGGGCCCCAAGGACTGGACTCTTTTAAACAGGGCCTAACGGCAGGGTCCCTGACAGCCCAGTTTGCACAAGAGTCCCCCACCCCAGCTGATTGGTCATACATAGCACGGTTACCTGACTCAACCTGGGCCAAAGAGTTGCTCTCTTGGGGGACTGAGTAAAGGCGAAGGGATTCCAGCTCCACCTTGCTGCCCATCTTGAAAAGGGGAGCTCCAAGACCCAGTGATGTAAATGAGGGCCACCCTTTGTCACGTGTCTGGGGCCTATGGAAGGCCCATCTGTGAGCCAAGGGAAGAGCTGGCATCTCAGAGAAGACTTTCTGAGTTCCTGGAAGCCCTCCAGGCTCTGATTGTGCCTCTCATGCAGCTCTCCCCGCCGTTCTGACCTCGAGGTCATAGAGAAAACACCCTGTCCTCCAAATACATTCCCCGGATGGTGTTCATGTTACCTACAAAGGAAAGCAGCCTACCAATACAGAGTAAGTAGTGGCTGAGGGGTAGGGAGAATATTAATGGGAGAGCTTTGTGTTTATAGGTCAAGGGGAAAGTACAAGTAGATTTTTTTTTTTTTTCTTTTTTCCCTACAGAAAATGCTGATCAGTGGCCTCCTTGTTCCAGGGTAGCTGACACAGTCTTGGGCACCACCCTACAGCTGCGTTTTGGGTTCAAAGGCTTTTGTGGCTGGGCTGGGAAGCACATCACCATTTATAACATTGTTTCTAAGGGAGACACATTCCAAGATCCAAACAATGAATTCAGTAAAGAATGTTTGGCTTTTAGGAGGGATGAGCAGAGCCCGCTGTATCCTGGGGGCTGGCTATGCATTAACCATTAGCTTCCCTTCCCTTTAGACAAGGAGACTCACCCTGCAGGGCTGGGGCATGTATGGGAGGAGGGGTTTATGATAAGAGGAAGGAAATAGATAAGGGGCCCCGCAGTTGGGGTTCTCCAAGCCTTCCTCCGCACTGAGCGTCCCCATAGTCCAGGGATGGATGAGTGAGGGAGGTGAGAGGTGGACAAAGAAACTTGTCTTCCTTCACTCACGGTCACGTCTGCCCGCCCGCCTGTCGAAGGGGGCTTGCTTAGCCCCTGCTCAGCTCAAACCCTTTTTGGAATAAGGCGGGGTGTTAGAAAATGAATCGGACATCCTCTGCCTGGGGAATCCGGGGCGCTCGAGGTGGGCTCTGCCGGGCGGCGTGACCATTCCCTGGGAGTGGCTGTCACAGCTTGGGGCGAGCCAAGGGGCTTGGGCCAAGACTCCATCCGGCTTAAGAGGGCAGTGGCGAATGGGGTGAGGGGAGCGAGTCCATCCTCTCCACCCCTGCACTTCTACCCCCGCCCCGCCACCGCCCCCCCGCCAGCCCGGAAGGAGCGCTGGCAGCCTGAGCCCTGACTCGCAGGAGGGGAAGGAGAGGACGCGAAGCCCCAGCATTGTCTGGGAGGGAGGGGAGAAGCTCCGCCCCCCAGGAGGAGGGGAGGGGAGGAGGGGGATAGGGGACGGAGGGCGGGAGACGCGGGGAGAAAGAAAGGCGAGGGAAGAGGGGCGGGGGAGAGATGGAGAGCTAGAGAAAGACGGGGAGAGAGGCCGATCCGACGCGGTAGGGACGGATAAAGGCAGGGGGGCGGGATAGAGGGCGGGAGGGGCGGAGGGGACGCGAGGAGGGCGGGGCGCCCGACCCCCAATCGCGCGGCCGCCGCCTGCGCCGCCCGGCTGGATTTGAGCCGGGCCCGCGGCTAGCGGACCCAGGCGCTGGCTGGAGCAACGCCCCCCCACCCCCACGCAGAGGCACCCCCACTTTCCAACTCCGCGGGCGATGCAGCCGACTCAGGACGCAGGCAAGGTTCGGGGCGCGGGGCACCGGGCGCGGGATGCGGGGCGCAAGGTGCCGGGCACGGGCCGGTCCTCTCTCCCCTGCCTCCTTCCAGCCCAGCCGAAAGTTTTCCCGCGGTGTTCCCAGCCTGGTCCAGGTCAGCGCCTCAGTCTTCCCCTACCCTGGTCTCCTCACTCCTCCCGGGGCCGCCGGGGGTTCCCGGGAGTGCGGAACCCCCGGGGGCCGCGTAGGAGCCAGCCCTTGAGCGCCCAGCTTCTGGCCGGAGAAAGTTGTGGCTCCAAGCTTGCCTTCCCTCTGCGACCCTTGGGGGTCCTTCTTCCCTCCGGCGCCCCCGCCCCAACCCCGGGGTTCTCGGGACTCCCTGGCAAGCTGCGGGCAGCAGGTGCCGGGATGGGAGGCCCGGACAGCGCTGGGAAGTGTCTGACCCCAAACGGGTCCCCATTTTCCCAGCCCAACGGACGGTTCCCCAGAGGGGGGTCCAGCACCCGGCGCGGGCAGGCGGCGCTCCCGAGGCCACTTCTGAAGGGCGCGGGGCCTCGGGGGCCCTCGGTCCTCGTGGCACTTCCCGTTGCGGTCTCCCCGTCAGCCTACCGAGCTAGCGCTGAGGTCGTTGGGGACCTCAGCTTTGCGTCCTCTCTCTCCGGAGAGGGGCAGTTTCCTTGGGCGACCCAGCCACTTCTGCATTTCGGTCGCCTGCTTTGCATTCAGCTCTTAAACTGGGAGAACCCTGGGGACAGCGCGGAGCGGCGCGGTGGCCCGACTGGGCGACGGAGGGCTTCCTCTTACTGTGGGGCTCTCTGTGGGTCCTCGTTTGTTCCCCCCCCCCCCTCCGCCACTGAGTGACAGCAGGAGCTGAGCGCTGCGCTTCTCAATGCTGCCCATACTTTATTCCCAGGTGTCCGGAATCGGGGTTCTCCCAGAGGACAGAGGCCGTGACTAACCAGCGTGGGCCAGGTTTCTAGTAAGTACCTTAGTGGGATGAATGAAAATTAGACCCAGGGAGCTGCCAAGTAACAATTCATCCTGGAGTGGGACTCTGTTCCTGTCACAGCTGATCTTGGTACAATGGGAGGAAAGAATTAGAAACAATGATTCTTTTAAACAGCTGGGATTCAGAGCCTGGGGCCTGCTTTCCAGAGCATCTGGGGGAGGAATCTGGGGTTGGATTTATTCTACTTATCAGTCCACACTTATTTACTGGGAACTTTTTCTGGAGTGGTCTTTGGAATTAAAGAAACTTCTCATGGCTAAGATATATTGGGTTTTTTGAGGGGAGGTGGGTTATTTGTTGTTGTTGTTGTTGTGTGTGTGTGTGTGTGTGTGTGTGTGTTTTAACTTGTGTCTACATGTGGTGTTCCAGGGACTAAGTGTGAATCAACCTGGGAGGCTCCCACTTGGGATCAGAGACCCTGCAGTGGGGTCGTGAGCTGTGCTTTCTCCTCTGAACTGGGCAGCCTGGGAGCTGCTGCAGTCCTCTGGGCCCTGACAGGCTAACAGCCACGTGGTGGCTGGGCTGGGGGAGGTGGGATAGTTTGGGAAAGAGGGTAGGTGGTTCTTGCCCAGGCTGGAAGGACAGGGAGTCAGAGAGGCTGCCCACCTGGGGAACCTCAGAGCGTGAGCTGGGCTGGGCTGGGGAGGCTGGGCTATGAGTCCTGACCCCCCTTCAGAAGACAGAAGAGCAGGGGTGGCGTATATGGAGACGGGATAATCAGGCTGGGGTGCAGCCGAGATGTATCCCATGCTCCTTGCCCTCAGTTTTGTGCTTTGGAAATCCAGTTGGAAGGAGGTGCATCTTCAGGGAGCCTGGCTGAAAGGAGGCCAGGTGACCTGGGGCCCCCAGGCATTCCCCCCTCCAGGGCAAGTCCCGGGGAATGGGTGGGAAGGGATGCCCCTTGCCCCCAAATGTGCAGACCAGAGCATGCGTCCCTGTGCCTCGGGTGGCAGCATCCCCACCTTCATGAGCTGGGGACAGAGAGTCTCATCCTGCCCCCGGGGCTCTGGAACCCCCCTCTTTGCATTTCTGCAGAGCTTCTGTTCTTCGTGTTCCCTTAGAAGTCACTTAGCAGGGACAGATGCCCTACACCTGTTTTCCCTCCCTCAAGCCTTCCGTTTCTCAGCTGCGCTGTCCTACCCACGAACTTTCAGTCACCCACTGGTTTTGCTTTGATTTCTTGGTCTATTTCCTGGAATCCCAGAGCCAAGCTTCGTGTCTGCCTTCTGTGCGTGAGCTGCTTAGGAATGACCAGGACACTTGGCTGGAGAGGCGCCCAGGACTGCGCTTCTGATGGCGTGCCCATGACTGTCCCACAGCACAGAAGAACGCTGGCCTGATGATTGCCTTCGGTTCTCCCTAAGATACTTGGGCCGGAAGTGTCCTCATTGGGAGGGTGTTTACAGGCAGGACCTGAGGACCAGAGAATCCTGCTGGGGGGCCAGGAAAGGGACTGGGACTTGCCAGGGTCTCCTCCTTTCCCCCAGGGTGAGAAACCGGGCAGGTCTCAGCAGTGTGCCTGGGACAGAACAGGACAGCCAGTCTCTGTGTTCAAGACAGAGCTGCTGAGAGCTGCTGCCACTGGGTTTCTAAAACTAGGGCAGTGGTCCCCCTCTGCCACCTCCTTGTTTCTCCCACCGCTCCTTACAGTATGGTCCAGTGATCTACCCTCATGACACACTGTCCTATTAAACACCTCCCTGCATCTCCAGAAGAATGTTAAGTGAGTCCTTAAGATGGGGTCAGCTCCTGCAGACCTGTGATTGCTGGTTTCATTTCTTTGGCCTACTTGTGGGTTCCCGTGGAGGGCATGTGTGTGTGAGGTTGGAGGGAGAGGGTAGGGCAGGAGGCACAGGGGAAGTGGGGCACAGTAAACCGGGACATCCTCCAGACTCGGCTGGCAGGGCATCTAGTGGGTCATTTGGGATCGTCCTTGGGGTGGCAGACGGAGCCTGGAGCCTATAATCGGCTGATGAATCTGCTTGGGATGACGTTTGAGGCTGTAGGACTCTGCCCAGGCCAGCTGTGGCTGATTCCGAGAGGGAAGCCTTATGCCCAAGAAGGGGGCAGTGAAAGGGTCTTGGCTAATTCCTGTGGGATGAGCAAAGTGACATAGAAGGGCTTTCCCCTGGTCATCCCATTGATAAAACTTGACAAAAAGATACCCTTGCTCCCTTGGACATCCCAACCCAAAGTGATTTGGCAAAGTGGGTTTATTTCACCAGCATGGCGCTCTCCCCATGGCTGGCATGCACTTCAATGTTTGGTTAACTGCTCATTTCTAAAAGAGGAATGCAGTGTTGGATTTGGGGTTTGAATGGGATTTGACCACTTCCAGCTCGATGATATTGGGCAACGTAATAGATGCTCTCAGCATCCTTCCTGTGTTCCCTTGGCCTCAGCCAGTGACGGATGAAAGCTCCCTCACTTCTCTGCTGGGGTGGCATGGGGGCACGTGCTATGCTGTGTCTTAGAGTCGCCTAGTAACTGGTCCCCTTCACTGGCTGCTGTCCCTTCCCTATTTCCCTTTCCAGCCCCCTTCCACTTGCACCTGGATCCTTGTTTTAGGGTCAACTTCTGGGGAAGGCAACCGAGGATGGGTTTCAGGCTGCAGTCAAGCAGTCATGTAAAGCTTCTTAGCCTCAGTTTCCCCAGCTGTAAGATGGCAGTTATAACTGTCTCCCGGTCATACTGTGATGCCCATTCAGAGGAGAGCCTGGCATACAGCAAACATTCAGGCAGCCATGGGCCGCTCATTGATCAAGATGGAAGGGGCCATGGAGGTTCTGGGAGTGGGCATTATGATGGCTCATGAATGGCCAGTTATAACGCCTTGGTGGAGAGAGGCTATCCTTCAGCTAGGTGAGAAAGCTGAGTGCACCTGCTCATGGCTGTCACATTTAGGCTGTGACCGGTGATAGATGCTGAACAGCCGCTTGGGTGGCACTGGGCCATGCTGGAGTTCTGCTGTGGTCTTTCCTGTTGCCAAGGGGAATTCAGCCCGGCCACCTTCTGCCTTCCTGGCATAACAGTTTCTCTTCATGACACAGGCGTGTTGTGTCCCTGAGGAGGGGACTGGTTTCTTATGGAAAGGACAGTCCCTACTTTCCTGAACTGCTATGCCGTGCCACAGACACCCAAGTGAGAGCCCAGGAAATTCTACATGGCGAAAAAGACCTTTGTGTGGCAGAATTCGACATCCCTGCTGTGATTTTTATCCCCAAAGCTCTGTGGACAGTCCTGCCGAGGGAGTCCCGGACTCCGCAGTGGCCCTGGTGGGAAATCTTATCCTAGGGATGTAATTAGGCAAGTGCAGAAAAATATGTGCAGAGGGGTGTCCCTTGCAGCATTCTTTGTAATAATAACCACCGAAATGGAGAGTAAACCCCAACAAAAGCAAACATGTTAATTCTGGTCCAGGTAGCCCTGGCTTTTTCAAAGTTGTTTGCCTTAGGCTGCTTGGTTGTTTTTTGTTTTTGTTTTAAAGA